TTTTTGTTTTCCTATTTTTCTGACTCATTAAATTTTTTTCTGTTTTTCTGACTCAGTTTATTTTTTTCTGTTTTTCTGACTCAGTTTATTTTTTTCTGTTTTTCTGACTCAGTTTATTTTTTTCTGTTTTTCGGACTCAGTTCATTTTTTTCTGTTTTTCGGACTCATTTTTTTTCGACAAACTAATGATTTTAACATCGATATGACTTAAAGGCATGTCGATCTCCCAGTGTCCTCAAGGAATGAATGCGTCTATTGTTTCAAATGATCTCTAAACTCACAAAAAAAATTAGTCTGAAAAACAGAAAAAAAAAAATTTGTCAGAAAAAGTTATTCCAGGAAACAAACCTAAAAATAAATTACTCAGAAAAAAATGAGTTTTTTGTCCAAGTGAATGCAGTACGCTTCCGTACTACAGAAATGCTGTTTTATTAGAATGTTTTATTTTGAACATCTTGCTGATGTGACAGTGACTTTTCACATCTGTTCCTTTATTTGGTTAATTTCAGAAGAGACTCACTACTCACATTTTATTTTGCCTAAAAAACTGTAATTTGAACAGAACCATATCTTGTGTCTTTACAGAGCTGCTAAAGGTCCAGGGCAGAACCCCCCAGTCCCCCAGACTCCATCCCAGCCAGCAGCCTCTGACCTCAGACGGAGCACTGCCCCCTAGTCCTCACCACTCACCTTACTCCCCCCAGAGGAGCAGCCCTAGATGTGAGGGGGTCGGAGGAGGTGGGGGAGGAGAAGAAGGGAGTGGAGCTCTGCTCCAGCTGCTGGCAGGTGGCCCCAGCCCCCTCCCCTCCCCAAGATGCCTCAACCACAGCCTGAGGTTCAACTCTGACCCTGACATGGCGCCTTCACCGCCCTGTAGCCAGGAGTACATACAGTGAGTGTCACCTGTCTGTCTTTTTGACTGATCTGTCTGTCTTTTTGACTGATCTGTCTGTCTTTCACATGTTTGTCTGCTCACTGTTTGTTTGTTTCTTCACTGGTCCACTTCGGGATAAAACTTGGGAGCCTTTAAATTGACTTTGGACCATTTGTTCTTGTTCAACTTGGGTCTTGATATCCTTGATGTGGCAAAGCACTTGAGACTTTTTAATTTTGCACTCAGGGGTCTCACTGGTTTTGAATTGAAACTAGAATTATGGGTCTGGTTGGTCTGGACTTGGGACTTGATTTGACTTGATGGTCCTGACCTAATTCTTATTGGTCCTTACTTGGTTTTTGTTGGTCTTGTTGGTCTTATACTCTTGAGCTTGGACATGAGACTGAACAAATTTGGAAAATCTCATCTCTTTGTCTAAATGAAAAATCTGCTTCACACAAATGAAAATCTGGTTCTGGTTGAGTTCTTCAACCTCCTAGTCCTTCGTCTAGAATTCATATCTGTCAGAATATGTGGATCCCGTCAGAGTATCTGTTCTGGAGGATGAATCTGTTTCTGTTTGGTCTCTGTCTGTCTAATACGTCTTATATAACTTATCCTCCATCTGACCCACAGTCTCAATCAATCAGTCAATCAGTCAATCAATCAATCAATCAATCAATCAATCAAATTTTATTTGTAAAGCCCATATTCACAAATCACAATTTGTTGCATAGATCTTAACACGGTGGGACATCCTCTTTTCTTAACCCTCAACAAGAGTCAAACTACTAAAAAAACTGTTCACAGGGAAAAGGAAGGTAGAAACCTCAGAGAGACACGTGTGAGGATCCGTCTCTCTGGACGGACAGAAGTGCAGTAGACGCCACGTGTAACTGAGAACATCAGAAAAATAAGAATAGAATAGAATAAACAGTTTGTAGCTTGATGGAAGATAAATGAATTGAGGAGATATTGACAACAATGGTCGAGTATCTGAGAAGACATATTGTATATCAAGCAGTCTTATTGTAGTCATAGTCCACCATCCATCATCATGTGACTGTGACCCACCATCGTTATAATTCACTGAATCTACTTCCTATCTCTGGTTCTTCATCTCGTCTTTATGTCCACATTTATCTCTGTTTTTTAAAGAATAATATATTCAACATTTCTCTGCAGCACCAATGTGGATTAATCACCACTGGAAATAGTCCCCAATGAAGCATTGTTTCCTGCTGACATGATTTTAGGTTGATTATCTGTGTGGTTGTGTCCAGGTCTCGAGGTCGGGGGGACAGGACGCAGGGATTGGAGGACGAGTGTCCCCCCTCCATCCCCTTCCTCACCAGACAGATTCAGATGCTGAAGAAGAAAGTTCGCAAATTTGAGGATCAGTTTGAGCAGGAGATGAACTACAAGGTAAACACAGCAGGGAGCCAAACTCCAGCTCACTATCAGGTCCAGGACCAGTTCCAGACCAAAGAAAAGTCTTTAGGACTTTAGGCCAAAACTAAAGTAAGACAAACACCAGCTCCAGACATGTGAAATAACACTTCTGTTCAGTGAAAGAGATAAACTGACTGGATTTAAATCACAGCCCTGTTGTGTTTGTCTCTTTGTCTCTTTGTCTCTCAGCCGTCACACAACGATAAATATTCAAACCCAGAGATGATCAGAGTGATGAGTGAACTGGCCAAAGCTCGGAAACAGCTCAAAGGTAAAAACCTGAAAAACTGGAAACTACAAAGTCTAAATCCATCAGAGAAACTTTAAGGTGTGTGTGTGTGTGTGTGTGTGTGTGTGTGTGTGTGTGTGTGTGTGTGTGTGTTTGCAGAGCTCAGACTCAGACAGTCGGTGTTTGAGTCGAAGGAGCAGGACGGTCCAGAGAACACCCTCAGGTAACAAACACACATTGATTGTCTCTGTAATTCCTCTTCAACATCTATCAGCTCCAACACGATCGTCTCAGTAACACTCTCCCTGGATCTGAATAAACAGAGGAGACACTCAACACCAGCATAGAAACTCATTGTATGAATGCTCGTCCCCGTACATGGGCTACATGCGCACCTCAGACGCAGAAGCTTGAATTGGCCTCAACACAGTCAATGTGAATGTGTCCTGCAGGTACAGCTCCGGGCAGCAGGGGGCGTCAGAGCACAAACCAACCCTGGAGGAAACAGTAGAGTCTCTGTTCAGACGTCTGCGGGAGAAGAGACGAGATCTTGGTCTCCCCGACAACATGAAGGTGAGATGCCATGTGATGACATCACACAATGACATCGTGTGATGTCACTATGTGATTTCATTACAGTGTGTGTGTGTGTGTGTGTGTGTGTGTGTGTGTGTGTGCAGGAGATGACTCAGGCTCAGATGGTGTTGGAGAAGATCACTCTGCAGAAATGTCTTCTGTACTTTGAGAGTCTTCATGGTCGACCAGTGAGTTTTCACTTCCTGTTCACGCACAGTGACATCACATGTGATGATCAGCTGATCCAGTGTGTTGTTACAGTGACTCTGTGTTGTCATGGTGACCACGTCTGCCTGTATCTCAGGGAACCAAACAGGAGAAGAACCTGGTGAAGCCGCTGTATGACAGATACCAGATGATCAAACGTTTACTGTGCGCCAGCCCCATCTCCACCATCGTGAGAAACACACACTCACTCACACACTCACACTCACTCACATACACACTCATACACACACACACTCATACACACACACACACATGTTGTTTGATCACTATTATTACACTGGTTATTTCTGTCATTTGACTCTTTTTGTCTCTCAGGAGGAAGAGGATGGATCTGATGAAGACTCTGTGAGTTCAGTGACGGTGGTGGAATGTCCTGTCCCGCCTCCTCTCAGAGCAGCCCGGCCTTCAGTCGGCGAGGAGGACAGCGACCGGGACAGCGACCCGGCTTTCGTGTCCCCAATAGACGAAGTGAAAGCCGTCCGTCAACAAGCGGCCGTCACCACAGCCAACCTGCACGAAGCCTCCAGGTCTGGAAACTGATGCCATGACGGTGCAGAAACTGAGAGTCACTGTGAGATGACTCAGCTGAAAACTGTTTCTTTGGTTTTTTGCTTTTCCTTCATTAACCTCGGCGTGTCTGAACCAGGTCTCAGCTGCTTCAGAGTCTGCGGGATACGAGAGCAGAGAAAAAGACGAGGCGCAAAGCTCTGAGAGAGTTCGAGGACCAGTTTTACCGTCAGACCGGGAGGTGAGAGACAAACCTCAGGAACTAAACAGGAAGCCAAACCTCCAGCGTGGCTGCACAAAACCTTATTTCTCTGTTAAATACACAATATGTTGAAGAAAACTATTTTAGAGATTTAAATAATATTCGCAAAGTAAAAGGGTAATGACACCAAGTGGTTTTTAATAAGTAGATGTGAGGTTAACATACTGACACAAAACATCACAGACTCTCGAGGTTACTCTCAGAAATCAACAAATATTCACATCCTGTCTTTTTCTTCATCTGGAATGATGACGTTCATACTCTTGTGTTTCCTGACAGAATCTGCCAAAAAGAGGATCGCAGCCCGATGAAAGAAGAATACCAGGAGTACAAACAGCTGAAAGCTAAACTGCGGCTGCTGGAAGTTCTGCTCAGCAAACAGGACGTCACCAAACCCGTGTGAGAGATGACGGACGCTCCAGTGGATCAAAACTGGGCTCCAAAGTTACGACATCAGATCATAATGTGTTTGACGGCTGAACGTTCGGGATGTCAGGAGTTTTGGTTCATTGCTGCTTCCTCTTCAGACTGAGCATTTCTAAAAAGTGTAAATAATCCAGAGTTTCACAGAGAGACCAGACGTCTCTGTTGTGTATGTGCCAGTGTAAACCAGCGTCCTACAGTATCTGTTCACCTGAATTATTGTGAAACTGCCTTTATTCCATTTTGTAACGGAACTTTTTTTTCCATGTGATTTTTGTTTTTGATTTAAAGGACCAACATTTTCATACGAGACTTTGTGAGTGTCAGACTGAAAGCACTTTAAGGAAAATACTTCATCAGGAAGGAAGAAAAAGAACCGAACAAAGAAAGAAGAAGATGGTCGGGCTGATAGCAGGGCCTCCTGGAGCGGTGCACCGGCACGGTGGATGGCGGTTATAAACTGAACCACCAATAAGTGAGGTGGTTAAACTAACATCAGCAGGGGGCAGTAGGTTGTTGGAGGGATCGAGCTTGTGGGCGGTGGGCCGAACAGAGAAGAAGAAGACAGTAGATGGTGGTAATGCCTCTTAAAGTTGGTTACCAGGCCAATAAGCCGAACAAAGAACTACATTGTCAGTAAAACAATGAGAAACTGAACCATCATTTCTGAGAGTTGAGAAAAAAAACAGCTGTTAAATGACAAACAAAAAATCATCCTGTTCACTTAAGATTTCTTAGTTTCTATGGAGATGAGACATTTTGTGACAAGTCCGTTACAGTCAGACTACAAAGTATCTGAAATCTCATGAGGTCGACTCGTACTTTGCTCAGTTACTTTTGTAAATCTACATTTCCCTCATACTTCATCAAACTGAGGAGATTCTTTGATGATCAGAGGCTCCAACTCAAGAGTTAATCTCATTGAGAGCTGGGCCCTGACTTTACTGCTCTGGTTTCATAAAAGTAAACGTGACAAACTAAACAATGTCTGGATCAGCTGCTGATGTTCAGTGTCTCAGTGAAATCTCGACTGGAAACATTTGAGGATGAAGATGCAATTTACAAATGATGTGAAAAGATTATATCACAGCACTTTATGTTAAAAAGATGTTTTAACACCTTTTACAGATGTTAATATGCAATTTGTGTTTACAGATCATTGTTGTGTTTCAGATTCCGATCAGAGTTTGAGATATTTGCATTAACATTATCTGAGAAATGCTGCAGGTAAACAATCCTGTGAAGAATCTTGACTGGATGTTGTAGAAAAGGGCTCAACCACCAAAATGAAATTACAAACACAAACTCAGTGGATAAAGAATGAAAATGAGATGTGCTGAGTGTTTGTGCCAGAAAAAACAAAACTGTTTTGTCAAAATGTTTAATTGGATCCATTTCTTTGATTCACCTTTGAAAAAGAAAATGCATTTAGTTCTATGAAGATGTGATTTCACCAGAAGCTCTGACGATGGAAACGTTTTGTGTAAGATGTGTTGGACGTCTCCTGACGATTTGACTTTGTGCACGTCCGTGTAGATGTCATGATCTTGAACATGGACTCGTGCTGTGATGATAAAATCTTCCGTGTTGTGTAACTCTGGTTTGCTTGATACATTTCTATACAAAGTCAAAATAAATATTTTTGCTATTAGCAGGAGTTGATTAAAGTATAATTTCTTAGAAGAATGTTTGAACTTTACTGTCAGTGTAACCATTGATCATTAACGCTTCATTATTCCCAAGATGCAGGACTTTAAATTTGACTTAAAAAATTTTTTATACTAATTTAAAAAATGTGTCTCATTCGACTCGTCTCTGATGGAAACAGTTGTTACTGGAAATGTCCTCTGGGTCGTGCTATTTGTGTTTTGTTCCTTGATGATCAGGACTGATGATGTCACTGGTAGTAAAAGCTGGTAGAGACTCTGAAGATGTCGGACGTGCCTTCGTACGGTGTGATGACGGGTCGCAGGCCTTTCATCCGTTTGAAGTGTCCAAAGTGTTTAATCCTGTAGTAGCCACCAGGGGCCGATGGAGGGATGAACCATTCGACTGTGGTGTTACTCTGCCCGTTTGACCCTTTCAGCCAATGAAACCTGCAGCCAGAGACGTAGTTTAAAAAGATCTGAGCAGGACTGAACCTGGAACCCGATGTGATTTAACTTTAACTCTTAGTTTCGTTTCATCAAGTTTCATGTGTATCATCGCCTCCTGCCTGTAAATCATGGTACTTTAGCTGCTTGACAAATTAAAACTAGCTGCATTTCAGATACCACAGTAAAATACTGTTATTAGTAATAATAATAATATACAGGATAGCAGCCAAGGAGTACTTCTACTTGTAATACATTTATACTCTCGCACATCTAGAACACAATAACCCACCTGGTCTCCCATGATGCATCAGTGTGTACGACCTCCCAGCTGTCTGTTCTGTTGTCGTAGATCTCCACGGTAACAAAGGTTTTATCTCTCTGCAGCCGACAGAAGAGCGAGAAGGTCAGAGAGGAATGAAAGTGCGAGTGAGAAAACAAAGATGGAGACAGAAGACGTTTCTGAGTCTTACGATGTCTCCGGAGTGTCGGGGGTTTCCTGCTACGAACGTGATGGAAACGACATCACCCTGAAAAACATCAGTTGACGTATGTTAACGTAGAAACAGCCGGGTGTCGTCAGCATGTGGCCGGATCCCCCACAGTATTTTGAGACCTGGATCGACTTCAACTTCAACATCAATTTGAAATTTAATAGAAAAACTTCATGAGATGAAACAAATCTGGGATTGAAGAGGATTCAAATCTGACAGAATGTTATCGAACCTCGACTCAAACAAACTGAGCCAAGTGCTGAGCCCTGAGGGACACCACAGGACAGGAGATTATATACCTGTCTGTAGACGGGGTGAACCTGCTGCAGGACGTCTCCAAAGCTGCTGTTCACTGATGTTTTATCGACGGAGGCCTGATGCAGCAGGTTGAAGAGATTCTTGGTGAAGAACGGAGGCTGAGGCCCGACCGGCTCCTTCGGCACTTTGTCCTGGAAACACAAAAACATACTTTCACTGTTCCACGAGAACCATACGACACAGAGATTCACTGCTGCCAACAAATATGTTGGAATGTTTCAATAACAGACTTTGTCAGATTCTTTTTCTTTGACTTTTAATTTGGGAACTACAGTACCCACAATGCTTCAGAGAATGTAAACAGGTAATAAATCAATTTGCATGTGACACTGTAACGTGTGTCATTATAAAAACCAGCTACAACTTTATCCAGTTCCAAATTGTGGTGACATTAAATTGCAAACGTTTACAATACATCCAAATATGTCATTCATAAGATTTAGGTTTTTATTCATAATTAGTTTTGTTTAACTTCATCTCATCATTAAACTCAGAGAAGAATAAATTGTCTACATCCAGTTATCAAAGTGTCAACAGGAGGCTCCATGTTTGGTGTGAAAGGTGAAATCCCGTCAGTCTCACTTGTGCGATGGCTCGGGCTAGCCCTCGGAACTTGTGCACGTAGGCACTGAGCGTGTGTGGACCGTAGATGGTGGAGGCTCCTTCATATCGCTGCACCTGAAAAAATATTAATAAATGCTTGTAAGTAGAACACTGAATCTAAAAACTACAATACCCATGAGCCATAGCTGTTGTGTACCTGGTACTCTTCGTAGGTGGTGATGTAGTGAGTGTAGACGTTGCTGAGGCCGGCGATCACCACCTCCGTGTCCTCGAACGTCCCCTCGGACTGCAGCTCCTGACTCAAACACACAGAGACGTCAGCCAACAGGTTTCAAGTGTGTGTGTGTGTCTGTGTGTGTGTGTGTGTGTGTATGTGTGTGTGTGTGTCTGTGTGTGTCTGTGTGTGTCTCACCTGTTTGACAGCGTCTCTCAGCCTCCTCCCTGCCATGGTGCTGCTCACATGAACAACAACAACAACAACAACTGATAAATCTCAATTTCCACTTGGAGCTTTTTAAAAAACGTTTTAATTCCGATTCATTTTTCATTGTGAAGAAAATACTGTTAACTGAACAATATCTATAATTAATATTGATCGAGATGATAATCAAAGATCAAACAGGTCTTTGTAGTGAAGTCACAAATAGAAGTTCTCATTAGTATAATACTGGTAGTCGTAGTATTACTGTAACATAGTAGTATAAGTGTTGTTACGTCATCTCTCCAGGGACAGCTACGACAGCGACAGATCCGATGGTGATGATCTGAACGTCAACAATCTGAGGATGCCACGGGAGAGGCCAGTTCATCTGCACACACAACACACAACACACAACACACAACACACAACACACAACACACAACACACAAACACACAAACACACAACACACAACACACAAACATTTATTTTCAAGCAGCACAGAACGTAGCTCCTCGTTCTTCACTCGTTCCTGTCGACACCAGACGACATCCTGAACAGACTCTGGCAGCACATCAACCTGTTCTCCAAGGTCTTTGGCCTCAGTTAATGTGATGCAGTTAATGATATATAAAGCGTCCCTGGGTCTCTTGATAACACTATATTCATTATTATATAACTTGTTAATATTATCATTATTATTGACCCCCCCACCTCACCTCCCCTGTGCTGAACAGGATCGGTTTGGGATGGTGACATTCCTTTGTCTGATTGGAAGGTTCTCCAACGATAGCGTCTCTGATGCCGTCCCAGAACGGGTCGCCTTCCACAGCCCCTTCACAGAGAGAGAGAGAGACAGAGAGAGAGAAAGAGAGAGAGACAGAGAGAGAGACAGACACAGAGAGAGAGAGAGAGACACACAGAGAGAGAGAGAGAGACACACAGAGAGAGAGAGAGAGA